CGCCATTGCACTCCAGCCTGGGTAACAAGAGCGAAACTCCCTTTAAAAAAAAAAAAAAAGAAAAAAAAAACAAAAAAAACAACCTTTTACCCTTTCGCCAGCATGTCAGACTTCTGGGTTCCCTTCCCCTGAGCCCAACCAGTCTAAGGTTTGGGAATTAACTCCTCCCAGTTTGGAGGATGCACCTGAGGGGAATGTATAAAAACAAAATTACCTAGCTGTAAAGAAAAGTCAGAGGAGGAAAAAGGAAAAAAGAAAGCTGCTTTTTCAGAGGAGTCCCAGAGGTTCAGTTTGCATTTGAAAGGGGTACAGACTGAAGATGAATGGCTTCTCATCTACAAAGGGGAGCAGGCATCCCTGATTTCTTTCTCTTCTTAGCAAATACCCAGGATACATGAGGGAGGAAAAGTGAGGTGTTCTTCTTTCCTCTGTCCTTATATCCCTGAGTTCCAGTGACTATGACAGGGTGTCACCCATGGCTGTCAAAGCAGCTTTCAATCATGTAACAGGGGGTGCCTAGGGAGTGGGAGTATCTGCTCTTAACTGCGTGTGCCCTATCTCCCCTGCTGTCAGTAGCCTTAGAATCCCTTATTCATTTATGCCATGAATACTAGTATGACCTTTATCCATGAAACGGGAAGCTTGGCTCAACTGGCAGGAATTAGTAATGCCCACCTGTGCTGTGCCTTTTAACTTTTGTTGTCATCTTCCTCTGGGTCCCTCAGATCCAGTTTCTTTCCTTCCTTCCTTCCTTCCTTCCTTCCTTCCTTCCTTCCTTCCTTCTTTCTTTCTTTTTTCTTTTTTTTCTCTTTCTTCTTTCTTTCTCTTTCCTTTCTTTCTCTCTCTCTCTTTCTTTCTTTCTCTTTCTCTCTTTCTTTCTTTCTCTTTCTCTTTCTCTTTCTCTCTTTCTTTCTTTCTTTCTTTGATGGAGTCTCACTCTCTTGCCCAGGATGGAGTGCAGTGATACAATCTTGGCTCACTGCAGCCTCCACCTCCCAGGTTCTAGTGATTCTTCTGCCTCATCCTTCCCAGTAAGTGGGACTACAGGCACGTGCCACCACGCCCAGCTAATTTTTATATTTTTAGTATGATGGAGTTTCAGCATATTGGCCAGGCTGGTCTCGAACTCCTGACGTTGTGATCCACCCGCAGCCTCCCAAAGTGCTGGAATTACAGGTATAAGCCACCATGCCCGGCCCAGATCCAGTTTTCTTCTTGGGGCTTTCACCCAAAACTTAGAATTGAGCTTCGGACCAAAAATGTGTCTCAGTGGGGAGGGGTGTTGCATGAACTCCTTATCATAAGCCAAATGCTATGGTGAAGCTGTGAAATTGAGTCCTTCTCCAGCAAGGGAGAGAAAAAGGATGTCTTGTGACACTCCCAGATAACTGTCTAAGATTACTCCCAGATAACTCCCAGATATGCTTGCTAAGATTTGAGTGCATGGGTTTTGGCTTTGGTTAAATCCATTGGTCTTACTTTCCCAAAAAGGAGACTTCCGAGTGATGGGCACCCATTTCCATCACCTGGCAGGATTTGCAAGACAATTGCTCAGAACTAGTACATTGATCGAGATTTTTACAATACCCCTTCCTCCTGTTCCTTTTGAGCTGCAGCTGGTGATCACTGGTTGGTTTACAGGAATAAGCAGCGTTAGTTTAAAATGTAGGCAAAAACTAAAAAACAAATGAGTCAAGAATTTAGCGGCAAATGTATGATAAATTTTGAAACATAATTTCTCTCTAATCCTATTTCTGTAAAAAACAAATCATAAGACTGTGTTGCTTGCAAAGTAGACTTTAGTCTTGTACTCGATCTGCTTCTTTGCATAAAGTGCAGCAAGAATACTTATTTCTACATATGCCTTTATATTTTTATTTATTTATTTATTTTGAGACAGAGTCTCACTCTGTTGCCTAGGCTGGAGTGCAGTGGCATGTTCGCAACCTCTGCCTCCTGGGTTCAAGTGATTCTCCTGCCTCAGTCTCCCAAGTAGCTGGGCTTACAGATATGTGCCACCATACCCAGCTATTGTTTGTATTTTTAATAGAGATGGGTTTTCACTATGTTGGCCAGGCTGGTCTCAAACTCCGGACCTAAAGTGATCCGCCTGCCTCGGTCTTCCAAAGTGCTTGGATTACAGGTGTCAGGCACCACACCTGGCTTTACATACACCTTTTAGATTGGCTTTGATGGGACTCTGTTCCACAAGGAATCCCAGATAAGACCTTTTCAAGGTGAGCCCAGACATGGGTTTGTATCCTCAAATACCTATTAGTTGGGTAAACTCCTCTTTTCTTGAGGTCCCAAGACTATGTGGTTGTTGTTGGAAAGTTACATTCTTTACTCTCGACAGGTTTGGAACCCTGTACAGGGACTGTGTAGCCCAGAATATGAGCCCAGTTTTCCCAAAGGGCTTTTATTAGCTCTGCAAGATGAGCTTGATTCCTTAAAAGGAAGCATACCCTTCCAGTCCAAGCCCTGGTAAAACAACCAGTTTCTCCAATTGTATCCTGTTGCAAAAGGATTCTTATTGCTCTGATGCAAATAACTATATTGACATAAGTTAAGAATACTCAGTTTCCAAATTCTAGAGGTATATGAGGGAGGGAAAGTGAGGCATTCTTCTTTCTTTCCTCCGTTCTTGTATCCATAAGTCTTGGTGACCACCACGGGGTGCTACCCATGATGTCAAAGCAGCTTTCACTCATGTTAACAGAGGGGCTTAGGGAGTAGGAGCATCCATTTTTTTTTTTTTTTTTTGAGATGGAGTTTCGCTCTTGTTGCCCAGGCAGGAGTGCAATGGCACGATCTCGGCTCACTGCAACCTCTGCCTCCTGGGTTCAGGCAATTCTCCTGCCTCAGCCTCCTGAGTAGCTGGGATTACAGGCACGTGCCACCATGCCCAGCTAATTTTTTGTATTTTTAGTAGAGACGAGGTTTCACCATATTGACCAGGATGGTCTAGATCTCTTGATCTTGAGATCCACCCGCCTCGGCCTCCCAAAGGAGGAGTATCCATTCTTATCCATGTATGCCCTATCTTCCCTATCCAATCTTACTATGTATGCCCAATCTCTCCCCAGTCAGAGAGAAACAAACATAATCCAAATTTTTTTCACATCTTTCTCAATTATTAAAGTCTGTAAATAGCTCAAAATACGTTTCCTTGACTCTGAAAAATGAAACAAAGATTAGCAACATTTCAAGCAAAAGTCAAAAAGATTACTTCAGTTTTCTATTAGTCCATTTAGTTAGCTCTTGTTTTGCTTGAGATTCGTGAACATTTCAGAATCTTCATGAGTCCTGTATAGTTTTCCTTTATTCCAATGTTATAGTCGCCAAAGTTATCAGAAACCTGTATTTGAGAGCACTTGTCAGGGTCCCATAGTTTATTATAAGCCGTCTTTCGAAAAGGATCAAAACAAGACAAACATTGTTTGTGAATAACAAAATGTACAGGGTGGTTACAGTCAGAAACAAGATTGACAAAGAAATGTGGTTATCTCCAAGGTTTACAAAACTTAATATAACAACCTTAATTGTGATTGATAGCATATACTCAGACATTAGAATTTTAGAAATCCCACATAATTTTGGAACCTATGTTAATATTACTCCCTAAAATATAACCTGAAAATTAAACATCATTTTGGCAAACCCATGTACCTAAACACGTTAACTAATCTGTTGGCCTCTCTTGTGGATGCTTCAGGGGTCCTCTGTAGCTTCGAAAAGCCAGGCATCAGGAAACATAATTTTGAAACTGAAGTTTGATTTTGATAAGCCTATTAAATAGTAGAGATTTAAAACACTTAATGTTTTGAAATAGAATTCCAGATGACCACAAGTTATTTATTTTGTCAAAATGATTACTCAGAATTTTTTTTAAAAAGCAAAAACCTTTTTTAACGCTTTACAAATTTTACTAAAGAGCAGTTTAGTGCCTTAAGAGTACCTTGTGCTTTTATTTCAATGCTCAATTAACAGAAAAACCATAAAATATCCTTTTGAATTTAGTTAATATGTTCACACACAAAATTTCATTTGCAAGATGAATTTTTACAATCCTTCCACAACTTTTTGAACTTTTAGCTTTATCTTATCTAATTCAAAACAATACTTTAACCTTAGGCAAAAATGTACTTTTTGATGACATCTGCATTTTACCAAAATCTTTTAGGCTGTTTTTATTTCTCAAACATGAAAGGCATGCGAACTAAAAGATACCACAGCTTTTTTTTCCCTTTAGAAAAATATTTGTTCCAAGAACTTATTCTTCTTTAAGTCAATTAATTAGTGCTCTCTTTTTTTATAGACATCACACACACAACACATACATAACTACATGGACAGGCAGAAGAAAACCCAGCAGCCCTAAGATTTTTCATTCAATTTCCTAATTGGATTATTGGTCTCTGAGTGGAGCCCTTTAAGAGACAGGGCTAGGAAAACATACCATAGGTGGGGAAATAAACAGATTTTTAGAGGAATCTATCCATTTTTAATTCCGGGGGTTCTCTTTCAAAAACAGATTTCTTCCCAAAACAGGGTCAGTGGCACCTTCTCTGTTTTTCCCAAGGAGTCCCATGCCTGCAGGAGTTATCTTAGAGCCTCTCATGTGAGCATTGAATGGCAAGACAAAATGGAGAAAAATAATCCAGTTGACAGAAAAAAACCTTTTTCCAGCAAAACAAAATTCAAATAAAGAAAAGCATAAAGGTCTTCTAAATATACCTAAAACTTGAATATCCACTTTTAATTAAGCTGTGCACTTGTTAAGAAAATCCTTTTGACTCCCCCATTCCCCGACTTAAGCCACACCAAGCAGCCAATATTTCTGGCTTTCAAACTTTAGTAAAGGCTGAGAGAAAGAAAAATCCAAGGCAGTTCGTGGAGCGGAAGAGAATCAACAAGTAGCAAAGGTCACACAGGTATCAAACCAGAAAGGACTCACTCCCAAAGCCAAGACTGAACCTGGCCACCACCGTAAACTTGCAGAGGCTAAACAAAACATTGCCATGTGGTTACAGGTTATGCTCCCAAGGAGACAAAACAGAATGGAAGCCTGCAGCAAAGTTTGCTACTGATCATACCAGATTGGCTACAACTTAAGATCAAAGTCACAAATCCTTTTTCATAATTAAAACTTTACAGGGAATGTAAACAGTGATCCTTATCCTTCCTGGCCTAGAAAAATATCTAAAAGGAAAAAAAAAAATCTCCACTTAAAAGGTAACTACTAACAGGGCAGAGAAAAGGGCAAAAAGTTTAATGTGCAGGGTTGGAAAGATGCCTGGGGAAAGAATCTCTTATTCTTATGCAAATGTGTTTCTCCAACTGGGAGAGAAACTTAAGTTGGGCTTGGGGGAGCCACCAGTTTACCTGTACACCCCCAAAAAAGGAGGAAAAGGCTGACATTCCCGACCCTGGGGAGCAATGTGGGAATGGGGAGGGAGGCATAATTTCCTCTACCCTCAGAAGTCGAAAGACTAAAAGGTTTAAAATCAAAAGGAAAAAAAAAATGTGGTTCTATCTTTCTTAACCTCCCTCAACCCCCACATTGGGCACCAAAAATGTTGCAGAAATTTGCTCTTTAGTTCAGCTAAAACCCAGGTTTTTGTCACACGACCAGAAAAAGGTAGGCACACAGACACATTGAAAGGACGTGTAGAGCAGGACTTTATTGGGAAAAGAGCAAAAAGAAAAAAAAACCAGCAAAGTGAGATGGAGCCCTGCTA